GCCCAGGGCACAGAATTAAACCCTCTACTCACCTCCATCTCATCTCCCTAGACGAACATCTCATCCAGGCTCATAAGTTTAAACACCACCTAGATACAAATAGGAGCCCTGGTGGTGCAGTGGTTAAGCATTTGGTCACTAACCAAACCAGCCTGAATCCACCAGCTGCTCCCTGGAAACCCTATAGGGTAGCTTTACTCTGTCCTGTTGGGTCGCTATGAGTTGGAATCAACTCGACAGCAACAAGTCTGGTGTTTTTTGGTAAATACAAATGACTACTAAATTTCTATTCCTGCTCTGAACAAAACTCATAAAACCAATTGTCCTGACATCTCCACTTTAATGACTAATAGGCATTTTTAAACTCAATATGGCTAAAACAACAAGATTCCCACTCCCCCCCCCCCCAAATCTGTTCCTCTCCTCTCTAGTCTTCCGCATCCCGCTAACGGGTACCACTATCCACCCAGGTGCTGACGCCGAAACACAGAAGTCATTCTCAATTACTCCCTTTCTCATCTTGCATTAATACAGCAGCAAGTCCAGTTGTCTCTTCATCCAAAATATATCCCAAATCCATCTACTTCTCTACCAGCATGGTCCAAGTTCCACCATTGCAGGAAAAGTGCTTTCTCAGAGTGAATTTTGCTTCCCACCGTCTCCCTGACTACCTAATTGTATTGAAGTATACACTCCAGGGGAGGGAGTTTCTTCTGCTGGCTTTTAACCCACTGTATCATTAATCAGAAAATACAGGCTTGAGAAATTAATCTTGTACTTAAAAGGGAAAGGAATGTTCTTTATAGTTACACAACCTGGTCACAGGATGGCTATGCTGTTTGCACCTGAACAAAGACACCTTCCTGGTCACAGGAAGGCCATGCCAGCTGCGCCTAAACATAGGTACCTTCCTCTTACCTCCCTTCCTCTTTCCCCATGCACTCCAGCATGTATACCCTCTGATTTAAGGTATATAAACCCCGGGTCCGTTTGTCTTTTGCCTATGATGCATTGGGGGCATGAGTAGAGGAGGTTTCTTTGTCATTTCACCCTGGGACACAGTGCTAAAACAAGACTGGTCCAAGATGAATCTTACACTGTTCCTCTTTGTCCTAATTGCTACGTAAGTAACAAAGCTTGTAATCACGCTACTGGGTAATGTCATTACTCTGCTCAGAGATAACAGCCCTGTAGGAACCTACTTTTCATTTCTCATCCTTGACACATCAGAACCACCTCAGTTATCTGCCACTTGGTCCCCTGTGAGAGTCTCTTAACTGGTCTCCCCACTACCTGTCACCCTCCACAACGCGTTCTCCGCACTGCAGCACTAGTTGTTTTTTTTAAAGTAAAAATTGTATTATGTAACTCCCCTACATAAAGCTGAATGGCTTCCCTTTTACTCCTTAGAATAAAATCCAGACTCTTACTAACCATGGCCTTCACGATGCTACATGACCTGGCTGCTATCTATCTCTTTCACCTCACCTCCTACTACTCACTACCTTGCTTACTGGGCTCCACTCACATTGGCCTTTCTGACCTGCAAAAACACTAAGCTCATTTCTGCATTATAATCTTTGCACTTGCTTTCCCTCTGCCTAAAATGCTCTATCCTCACAGCTAACTCCCCTATGTCATTCAAGTCTCCAATCAACGCCACTTCCTCTGTGTGGCTTTCCCTTAACATCCACTCTTCCTTCAGTTCCTCGACCCACCCCAGTCATTCACCAACACCTATGAGAAAGCATGCTACTTGACTTACAGATAAACCCATCTCTTAATAATGACAAGATACATAACATATAGTAGTTATATATCTGTAAATATTCCAACCTCACTAAATGGTCAAATTCAATTGAATATTTACTGACTACCTTCAATGGATAAGGCACTGTGGGAAACAAATGGTCCTGCCCTAACCTTTTTAAAGGCTGCTTCTCTAACTCTTGGCCTGGTCACAAGGATGGAAGTACTCAAAAGGCACTGCTAGAAATTTATAAGGATTCTAAGATGTTATCTGTCAGTCCATCACTACCTTAATTACATTTTACACACTCATGGTCAATAGGATGTGAAATCCCATATAAAGGATCACCTACAGATATGTACAGCGTCTTCAACCTAAGTACTGGACCTGAGGGAAATTCTGGTACCCCTCCCCCTCAGGCACTGTGCACCATCTCTCTACAGCACCCTTGGAATACACATCTTCAACCATCTTTCTAGCACAAGCTGCCCTCATTGTTCAGTCCTCAAAATCTCACCGCTCCATTTGATCCACATGGTCTGATAATGACTCCACTTTTTCTCTACCTCACAAGGGAACAGAATGCACCCAACTATGACTGTACTTAAAAAGATACAATTTGAGACTCAGCCTTGAAAAGCAGGGTCTCACCTTGTTTTCTTCTTGGTAAATAGTAAGGACACAGCTGCAAGGTGACTGTAAGAGTTAGGGGATATAGCCTGTGGCCATGGAACAGGGAAAAGATTTACCAATGGGGCCTTGGTTTCTTCATCTGTAAAACGAGTAAGTTAGACTAAATGATCCCAAAGACTCTTCCAAACTCAGACAGGACTCCTGGTCTTAGCCCCGTATGGAGAAGACTTCCATGAGTGTCAGCATTTCCCCCATGCAAGGCTCAAATGAACCCCAAATATTTCAGATTCCTAAGGCACAAGCCCCTGACTCTAAATGATATGGATAAATACTCACTTGGATCCACTCAAGGCCATGATAAATGGAATAGTCTGACAATATGTCATTACACCAATAACTTCCCACCAAGACAAACCCGGAAAGACAGTCTCTGTTCCGAAAACCGTTCAGTAGTGGATGGAAAACATGTCACAACCAGGTCTTTTGGAAAGTCCTCTCCTCCATTTAGTTTTCATGCTGAATAGCAAAGTCTGTCCCATACACATCTCAAAAAATCAGAAAGTTATTTTGGAAGTGGAACTATACGAATCTCTCAGGGGAATAAAACATAGTTAAGAATTCTTAAAAAACAGTAATGTTCAAAGGTAGGGGAACCACTTAAGACACCTAACCACTTAGGACATAATAACATCCATTCACTCTGGCCCTTAATGCAAGTGCAATGCCTCCGGATAAGAGGTCGACAATGCTTTCTGGGGGAAAAGTGGTAGGAGCTACACAGACCCTGGCAATTCCACACATAGTCTTGGCTATGCCGTCGTGTTACTACTGTCTTGCCCAGAACACGCTGCAGACATTTTCTGGCAGGAAAGAGAGAGAGCAGGCGGCCCCGTTTTCTTTCTAATTAAGCTCACCATGGGACAGAGCTTGGGTTTTAGGGTCTGCCCATCAACACTTCCACTTTACCATGCCCCTCCCCAGACAACACTGGTGCAATCCCAGCCTCCCAGCTCAGTTAACCTGATTAATATTTTTTCAGGTTCAGTAAACAAGAAACTCAATACATATGCCTCACACATGAGGTGAAAAAAAAGGGCAAATAAGCGTTGCTTTGACATGTAACTTCAATTACTCACACGAGCTTACGTCTCATTGGGTAATAATGTTTTAATAAAGATACCAGATAAATCCTTGCTAAATGACAATTTAAAATCCTGTTTCAAGTACAAGTAGATATTAAGTACTAATACATTACTATGCGAAAGACCAAAGTCATTTGTGCTATATTATCTCAATATCATGTATGTAAGGAGCCCTGCTGGTACAGTGGTTGTGTGCTCAGCTGCTAACGGAAAGGTTGGCAGTTTAAAACCACCAGCTGCTCCACGGGAGAAAAGACCTGGCAATCTGCTCCCATAAAGATTACAGCCTTGGAAACCCTATGGGGTAGTTCTACTCATCATACAGGGTCGCTATGAGTTAGAATTGACTCAACAGCACACAGCAGCAAGCACCATGTATGTATCAGGTTTTTAGTCTGGCAAAATTTGAGACCTGTCTCATCATTTTGATAAAGAGAATATCTATACAAGAATATCTATACAATCCAAAGGCACCCCAGGGATTGTAAATATTTCTTTTTGTTCACAAAAACATACTGTTAACTTCATAATTAAAGTGACATATTATGATTCATTTTAAGCAAGTCAGGATGTATTTCCATACTCATTTCAGTCAAAGGATTAAAGATGTAATGTGTGTATCTCAAACTAAAAAAAGGTGATGTGACAGAGGAGAATGAGGGGCAGATTTGGAGCCAGAAGCCTTGGTTTTCAGCCTCAGGTCCAACAATTACCAACAAAGCTACATCAGGCTAATGACGTCACATCTGAGCTTTACGCTTACCACTACTACCACCACCATTTCCACCTAACAGGTAAGGAAATTCATACCACTTCCCTGCCCACTGTGAGACCCAGACACAATCCTGTCTTTGAAAACACTCGATTAATGGCTTTATAGAGTATACAGGAAAAGTAATTCATTCTACCAGGAACAGGCTCCATCTTCCATTGCCCATACTTTAATATGTATCAAGAGCCTTAAAATTCTCATACCAGATAAAATAAGATGGGCAAGAGTGATGGGTACATGGTGTTCATTATACTATTCTCTCTGCTCTTGTATATGCTTGAAATTTTCTATAATAAAGTTGGCTTTTTTTAAAAAGAGCTTTCATAACTATTTGATTATTTTTCACTCTTCTTCTCAAGCTGTATTCCCTGGGTGATGCAAACGGTTAATTTCAATTTCTAAGAGGTCTAATTATCCAGTTCTTTTTCCACAGCATCCTGTTGTTTAATAGATGTCATATCTTCTTGAACTCTCAGAGAACATTAATAAGAATTTCTTCCAAACTCTTTTTGTTCACTTAATTCATGTACTTGGTTTACCATGCATTCTACTTATATGTCCATGATGTCAGTCCATAAGCCTGATCTTGCCCTCCCAAGAAGAGGGAAACCTGTACCACAGGCACACAGGCAATGATCAATTACTTTTTTATAATGGCTACTACAAAGAAAGTACCTAAGTGTGCAAGAAGGAGCCAACTTACCTTCATGGAGTCAGAGTATAAAATATATTCCCTGAGCACAGGCAGAAAGTCTTCTGTCATGTCATCAGTCAGCTCTTCCAAGGCTGTAGAGCAGTTCCCAATACAGGCTGACACACCCTCCAGGGGTTCGGCCAGCTCACCCTCTAACGCACTCCAGGTGGAGTACACAGGCCCATATTCTCTCAGCTCCACAAGGTACTCTAAAGGGAGAAGAGAAACCAATAAGGTCTGGCTGAGTAGCAATCACCAGTATTATGACTCAGTTAACCACCACAGCCAAGAGCTTGCTACATTAAGATGTGTTTTCTTGGCTATTCTCCAGCTAACATCATAACATCCATTCACTCTGCCCCATAATGTGAGTGCTATGCCTCGGAATAAGAGGTCCACAATGCTTTCAAGGGAAAACTGGTAGGAGCCACATCCACCAAACATCTTTAAAAACAACCACTCACCTACCCAAAGAGTAAAGCATTATTTTAACAGGCAGCAGGGGCAGAGTTTCATATAGGTTTATGGGGATGCTATTAAAGGAAAAAAATGAGTCACAATGGAAAGATAATAAAATTTTAGGAAACATTTTGATACAGGAGACGTGGTATTACATAGGTAGACTCACTCTCTCAGTCAGGTGTCACCCTAACACCCTGGTCCAATCAGAATTTATTCAACATGATCCTTAAGTGTGGACAGTACCCGAATCTATCTCCAGAACCTATAGGCCGCACATGATACCATCATTAGGTAAAGGAGAAGGGAACAAGCATAAGCAGCAAGGAAAAATGTTGATTTTTATTTCTCCCACAAAGAAAATTTGGTCCATTATTTGTCACTATGATTTCCTGCCATTACAAAAGGATGTCGCCATTTTTCTGTGATGAATGGCAACTACTGGAGAATGCTTTGCAATCATTCACATGCCAGGATGATCACTAACAATGTTCAGGTCTGTCTGGCCTACACATGTGTAAGGAAACAAAGGGCCTCAACATTTCAGGGTATGGTAAAGTACGTGGCCATGAGAGGTGTGGGGATGAAGTGGTAGCAAAAGCCAAGAAGGATAAAGAAAGGAATCAGCAACTCCCCAGGACAGCAGGAGTGGGTTTAAAAGAAGCAGGGGTGGGACAGGTGAATCAATTTCAAGTCTGATGGCTCACTAGGGTCATAACCTTGGCCAACACAGGTCACCATGTTGTCCTCTTGAACAATCTTCTTACCAGAAAAGATACCTAAGTTTGTTTTTAAAATTATCCTTCCTATGAGTGAAGGGCAGTTAAGTGGATGTCTCTGCTTTTAAAGCTAAAGTTACCCATTGCCATCAAGTTGATTCCAACTCATAGTGACCCTATAGGACAGAGTACAACTGCCCCATAGGGTTTCCAAGGCTATAAATCTTTATGGAAGCAGACTGCCACATCTTTATCCTGTGGAGTGGCTGGTGGGCTCAAACTGCCGAACTTTTGGTTAGCAGCCAAGTGCTGTAGGGTCGTTATAAGTCAGAATCAACTCAAAAGCAATGGGTTTGGTTTTAAGCTAAAGTTAAGACAGCTAAAAGTGGAAAAGCCCAGAGTCTTAAAAGTGCTTGCTTACTATGGGAAGAGCAAACACAAGGCTGAGATGCAGGACAAAGGATGGAGCACAAAATTAGTCTGGCTACAACTACCTCCTCCACACCTTGAATCTGTTTATTGGTTTTCTAAGTAAAATATCAGGAAAAAAACTTGGCAATCTGCTCCCATAAAGATTACAGCCTGGGAAACGCTATGGGGCTGTTCTACCCCGTCACATGGGGTCACTACGAATTGGAATCGACTGGATGGCACCTAACAACAAGTAAAACACGGCCTAGTTCTGTCACCTCGCCATTTCTGCTGTTTGAGTCTGCTTATTAGCATACATGAGTGCCATTTCTGTAAGTACAGTCCCTGAGCATGACTCAGATCTCAACAAAGAGCTCACCTATTTCTTCTTTGATGATTCGCTGGGCTATCCGATCAATGGTTCCTAGTTTGAGTGCAAACGTATCTAAGTATTCGCCTATGGCTGCAAACTCAAGAGGCCGACTCCTCAGCTTGTAGCCTCCGGTGACATGCTTTACTGACTCGCCCACTCTGGTCAGCAGTGCCATTCCTTGCTTCTTGTAGGCATTCAGGTCCTAAGGAGAACACAGAACAAACTGAAGGTGCTCAATCACACACAGGGTTGTTCCTATCCACACCTCCCCTCAGCCATTGTCCTGCCCTGTCATTACCCCTTCTCTCCTATCTGTATCTTCACCTTCTAATACTTCAGCATGTAAACTATACCCAAGGCTTGCCTATCTTAAAAATAGCAGCAGCTCTCTCCAGCCCCCCTCCCTTTCCTCCCTTCCCTTCAAAGTCAGGCTATCTGAGAAAATGGTCTAAAGATTCCATCTCTCCTTCTAACCTTCCACTCTGGATAAAAAACATCCTTACATTCGTAAGGTCATCTATTAGCTAAATAACAGATTGGCTCATAAAATAAACAATATCATCTGTGAGTACTATGACTCTTTAAAAAATCATCTATATGAGACCAAACCATCAACATTTACTCAAAAGCAAAGACAAAAAGGCAAGGGGACAGGGAAACTAGATTACTGGAAACAGAACAACCAGAATGGACATAATGAGAAAGCTGACACACTGAGAAAAATGTAACCAATGTCACTGAACAAAATACATAGAAATTGTTAAATGGGAACCTAATTTGCTGTGTAAAATTTCACTGAAAACGTAATAAAGTATTTAAAAAAAAAAAAAAATCCTCATAGGCACCAGGCCTTCATAAGACCATAACCAAAGCCTCAGAGTTCTTGAAATTACTTCTACAGAAAATATTTTTTTGGAGCAGCACTATATCCAAATGGGCTAGGTGGACTATTTAAGTTCCACTTCAAGTAGCGCTTTGAAGCATGCCCCCCAGTTAGCCAAATTAATTAACACAGTACCTATCTGAATACAGTACCTATCTGATTGCTACTCCCATTCTGACAATGACAGAAATTTTGGTATGAACATAGTTAATATTGAGCTTCCTCCCACCTCATCCAGCATTACCAGCTTCTTCTTAAGGACACCTCTAGTTTGTGACAAGATCATGTCATCTAAGGAAGAGGAAGACAGTCTGTATTCACTATGGCAGAAGAGCATGTAAGTGGCTCATCTAAGAACAAGACCAAGTTATTCCAGGTGTGTTAAAGGAAAGGATGGGCTATTTAGTGGGCTAGATATAGACGTAGAACTAGGACTAGAATTTGTTCTGCTTAAAGCTAACTCCTATGTACTAACTCACATGAAAGTTAGATTTTAATTAAGACATTAAAGGACCCTGTATTTTTTTAAATCATTTTCATATTGCTTAGCCCATAGACAGATAAATACCACCCCCTAAAAAAATCTTTCCTACTTATCCTTCACAGAGATTCTTAGGATCAGGAGTCTAAGCTTTCTCTTCCCTCCTTTTTTTTTTTTTCCTTTTTTGTTCAATAAAAATGACCGAGCTTAAGGGCCTTTCTGGACAATGGACCTGTAACCTGCATGAAACCTTGAGTCGCACTTTTGGAGAATAGGATGGATTTTTACCTTAACAATAACTTTATAGAACTATACCTGAGGATCAGTTTACCAGGAAATAGTTATTCAGAAAACAAGTACAAAAGGTCTCTGGGAAAAAGAGGCGATGAATGGGAATGTCATCAACAAGGCTAAACACCAAATGAAGTTAAAAAAAAAAAACCAAAGGACTTTGCCACGTGTCTTCCCCTGACTGTAGAATGGCATCTTCTCTAACATCTTTAACATCAACCTATGTTATCTGTAACTATTTCTCAATTTTGCCATTTTGAAAAGAAAACTGGAAAGTACCTGGACCTCAGTACCCTTGCCAACACAGAACAAATTACCTATGGCCTAAATATGGAAATATAATACATGAAACTAAACAGATGGGGCTGGAAGGAAGTTGGCATGAGAGTTTAAGCATGTGACCCCATTTCCGCAGACAATCAGAGTGGAGCACCTCGGGTTTTCTGGCCAGTTCTGCAAACATGGAAATGCTGAGAGAAGCCAGTGAAATGTCAACTTGGGTTTGAATACACAGAATTTGGCAACTGTGTTGGACCCAAGTATTTCTTTGGCGAATTCTTGGAAAACACCCACCTAATAGGAACATGGTTGCTGCCAAGTAATGCCGAAGTACTCCTGGTCAGGCATATGATGTAAAAAGAAAGTTTGGACTCAGGAACCACAAAGACCCAATTCCAAATCCTAGTTATGCCATGTAACAAGTGCAAACTCCCTGAATTTCAGTTGCCTCATCTGTAAAATGAGGCTATGAATAATCATTTATAGGGTTCTTATGAAGAATTTCCTTACTAAACATCAATAAATGTTCTTTCCCTTCCATGCCCATTGTTGGTCAAACCGGATCATATTGCTGAGAAGTGTTTAAGAAAACACTTATGTCTGCTTTTGGCAAGTGAAAATATTCTTAATTCCTCTGCTTCTGAAAGAGGTTTTCCTCCTGAATTCTAACATGGAAATCTTACTAATGCAAATAAGCATCAAAAAAACAGAGCAAGTTCATGACACCTGCTATAGTGGACCATACATGAAGGTGACTTGAGAGATCAAAACGAGTTTTTAAAAAAGAGCCCTAAGAATGCTAATTTTGGGGAGGAATATGCAAAATTCTGTCCTTACCTTAGCAGTGAGGAAAACATTAAAGTGTTCATTGAAGGAGAGCACAGGATGATCCGTGATTCTTTTTAGGAATTTATCCAAAGCTTTTCTTCTGGTCTCCACAAACTCTTCTGAAAAACGATCCACAACACCTTTCACCACAAACTTCTCAGGAAGCGGCTATGAAGACATGAAGATAAATATTCAGAGTAATTGATGAGATGGTGCAAGGAAAAACAACAAGGCTAGCAAATAATTCTTATTACCCATCTGTCCAAGAACAGTATTTCCTAATCAGTCAGACCTTCATATAGTCATCAATATACAGATTTCAAATATAGATGGAGTAAATCACAATTACTCTGTCAATTTTATAATGCAGGGAACAAAATATTATAGCATAGTCCCTGGAATACAGAAAACAGTCAGTAGATATTTGTCCAATAAATTCAATAGAATAGTTACCTTTACACTGCTTGAAGCACATATGATATAATACAAAGTTAGGGCAAAATTGGAAAAAAAAAAGTTTAAGGAAGGGAAAGAAAGCAGACAACATCAACTGCATAAACATAATTTAAGTATCTTGAGATTCCACACTCAGTTCAAGGGGTAACCGAGTAAATGGAAAAATATGAATATCAGGCAAACCCATGTTTCAAAAAAAAGTCCTAAGCCATTTTATTTTTTTGTTCATTTAGGTTTACACTCAAAAGTTCTTAAAAATATAACTTCCTTTACTCCCTTTACTCAAATCAATTTCTCCATCTTATATTGTTGGTGATTTATAAAACTATCCGGTTACCAAGTGATCTTTGAGCTTTAATCTAACGTGTACTATTTCTGTAGTAGCTTATCAAACACTTGATTAAAAAGCCTTCCTCATTACTACCACCATAAGGACAGAAAGCAGCCACCATCCACAATTTTTGAATGTTTTAATTATGAAATATTAAGAGATCATGTTACATTATCTCTAAGTCATACAGCATAACAGTAATACCAGTGCCCATAAATCTATTACACAATTTGACAAACAAAGCTCGACCACTGACAAATCTATCTCTGTCCTGATCAGATCCCCACTTTGCCCCACCCTCTGCAAGGAAACATGATCTCAAACTTTTGGTTCACCACCCCCTATACTTTATAGTGTTTAAGCAATGTATTTGTTGAGCTTGCTTTTGAATGTCATAAAAAATAGAACTACACTTGGCTTTTGTCATTCTACACTCTGTTTCTGGACTTATTTGTACTGATAACATAAGCTGTAGGAGAATCATTGTATTGTTCCATAGTCTTGCATTGCACGACTAAATGACAACTTGCCTATCAACTCCCCTGACCATGTACATGTGAACGGTTTACAGCTGTGTGCCACTGCTAACTGCTGCTGTGAACATTCCTGTAGACACATCCGAGGCACATGTACAAGTCTCTTTAGGGAAAAAAACCAAGACAAGAAAGGTCAAGTCAAAGAGTATGTGCTTTTTGGATCTATCAAGACAATCATATGCTTTTTTCTTCCTTTTATATGGTAACTGGCAAATTAAATTAATATATTTTCTAATGTTAAACCAATCTAGCAGTTCACGTTTGTCATGGTTTGAATCATGTCCTCCCAAAAATATGTATATCAGTTTGGCTGGACCATGATTGCTGGTACTGTGTGATTTCCCTATGTGTTGTAAATCCTGCCTCTATGATGTTAATGAGGGAGGATGGGTGGCAGTTGTGTTAGTAAGGCAGGACCTGACCTACAAGACTGGATTGTGTCCTGAGGCAATCCCTTAAGATATAAAAGAAGTGAGCAGTGAGACGGGGGACCTCATACCATCAAGAAAGCAGTGCCAGGAGCAGAGTGCGTCCTTTGGACCGGGGTCCCTGCACAGAGATGCTCCTAGTCCGGGGTAACACTGAAGAGAAGAAGGCCAACAGAGAGAAAAAGCCTTCCCCTGGAGCTGACGCCCTGAATTTGGACTTCTAGCCTACTTTGACTGTGAGAAAATAAACTTCCCTTCATTAAAAGCATCCACTTGTGGTATTTCTGTTATGGCAGCACTAGATGACTAAGACAACATTCAAAGTGCTAAATTAAACACAAGCAATTAACTTCACAATCTCCCCAAACCCTATACTATGACAATAAAGAGTTCTTCTTTTAAATTATAAACACTTAAGCACTAGTGGACTTAAAAAACCAAACCTGCTGCCATTGAGTCAATTCTGACCCATAGTGGACTTAAAAAAAAAAACCCATTGCTGTCAAGTCGATTCTAACTCACAGCAACCCTATAGGACAGAGCATAACTGCCCCATCAAGCTTCCGAGGAGCACCTGGCGGATCCGAACTGCTGTAGCATTTTACCACTATGCCATGAGGGTGGTCTTAGCTGACGTTAAAAAGCAGAATACTAAACCAGCAGTAGGGAAAGCCAAGAAGCAACCCAGATTTATAACACAAAACCTTTTAAAAAATTAGGAATTGGCAACACCAGCACCCCTAGAAATGAGGTACTTGAAGTGAGAGGGAATTCAACAGCCTCAACCTGAAAGGGTTTCAAGAGACTTGGTTCATTGTCATTATCAAGAGTTAAGACTGGTGTCACGCTTCCTTCGTTCATCTTCCACCTCTTTATCTACTAGCTGTTTGACCACAGACTTTACGCAAGTTCTATAATCTCTTGGTACTTCAGTTTCTTCATCTGTAAAAAACAGGTTAACAATAGTACCAACCTCATAGGGTTGTTATGAGGATTAAATGAGTTATATATTGAAAGTGCTTCAAATAATTCCTGCCACACAATAAACACCCAATAAAAGTTTCATTGTTTTGTTTGTTTTTGTTGAAGAAGTGGCAGCAGCTTCAGAGGACTGCTATCTTCAGGGACAGCCAATGTTCAGCTAAATCTTGAGATGGCAGGAGGGTTCAGGAAAGAGGCTAAGAATACTGGGGAATTTCCTTACAATAGGGCAGCAGTTTTAGAGGGCACAGTAGAAAGGTTTAGAAATGAAAGAAGAGAGGGGAGTAGAGTCAGGAATAAAATTACAGAGCTACACCGGAAGAATATATCAAAGCTAGAGACCCACTGGCACTTACGGTTTGGTAGATTATTGTTGTTAGGTGCCGTCAAGTCGGTTCCAATTCAGAGTAACCCTATGTACAACAGAACGAAACACTACCCAGTCCTGTGCCATCCTCACAATCGTTGTTATGCTTGAGCCCACTGTTGCAGCCACTGTGTCAATCCATCTTATTGAAGGTCTTCCTCTTTTTTGCTGACCCTC